AGACTAGACACCCATTCACTCATAATCCTCTCAAATTGGCAATTATATAACTACCACAACAAGTTACTGCTATGGAATGTTACTAACAATGCTGACAAGACCCAAGAGAACATAAATAGTATGGCTCCAGTGTGAAAATCAAAATCAGACAAAAATAAACAATACCGATCAAAATTATACAGAAGAACGAAGGAGTTATTATTCTGATAGCATAATGCTCATATTGGGAAAGCAGTAGGGCATTGTGATGGATTTCTAGTACATTGACAAGCCTGCTTATCCTGTCAAGGTGGTAATTACTGGATAAGAGTTCCTTTAGGAGCATTTAAAATTGTACAATTATGTTTTATGCAATTTTTCAGTATGAGGGTGTGGTAGTTACATAATTTCATGCCAACTGTCATAATTACATAATTTCATGTCAACTTGATAAATAAGTGTAAGGATGGAGTCTAGCCTGTCAACCAGGTCACAGTCTGATGATGCCTCCTAGTGGGCCGGGCCTTCACATGAGGATTCTGGGAACTTCCCCTCTGTGTCTGCCTTGGGCTTCCTGTTGACAAGCCACACGGAGACTTGCTGAGCCCTTCAGGAGCCCTCTCTGCTTCACCTTCTGTTGAAGAGTCACACTCAGAGAGCTGGAGGAGCCCCATGGGAGACCCGTGAGAGCACTGAGATGCTTCCAGCGTCATGGAATCCACAAGACTTTCACCCACTGGCCTATGATCTTCCTGCATCCAGCATCATTGCATGTGCTAGGTGAGTCCAAAGAGAACTTTATGGACTAGTATTGGACTTATGGGCTAATATCAAACGTATGGACTTGATCTGGACTGGGCTAGGATGTTTTCTTAATATACAATTACTCTTTGATATAAAGCTTTTTCTTATACATATATGAGTGTACCTGTATTTGCTTCTCTAGTCAACCCAGCCTAACACAGAGGGGCGTCTACTCACATAAGCAGTTACATACTCAGAAACTCAGAAGGGCAGTTTTACCCTATCCTGTAAGCTAGCTATGAGTCAGCATCAACTAGCTGGCAGTGAGTATGGAGCTTAGAACTATGCTTCACATTTTTAAAGGCTTGTAAAACAAAGAAATTAGAGTAAAATATGTGTGATTATATATAAGCTGGGTTCAAAAAGTTCATGGAAAATGGAATTAGAAGATAAGGAACCTTTCCTTATCAACTTTGTGATGCCCCATTACATACAATCTTGTGTTGGGAAAGGCATAAGCATACCATTAAATGTAGAAGATGCAAATTTGTTTAACTATAATGTTTAGGGATGTACACATAGATGGAGAAACAAAGATATGAATACTATAAAAATCAGATGGAAGCTTTCAGGAGGGAGGGAAGGAGTTGTAATCAGAAAGGTGCATGCAAAGAGCTTTGGGGTTACTGGGGATACCCTATTTTGATCTTTATAACTTTTTAACTGTATATCTTGCACATTTTCAATATATGTATCAACTTTCACAATGAAAAAGATATATATTTAATATATCTATCTATCTATATAGAGAGGCATATATGAATTAGCTTACCTCGATCCTTAAAATCAACTCTTGAATTCCATAAGTTCGAGCTTTCTCTATAAAAGTTATCAGTTCCATCATCTCTTCTGTTGTATCAGGGACTTTTAATGCATATTCTTTAATTGTTTCAAATTCACTGCAAATACTGAAACAATATATTGCTTTACTGTAGCCATGGTAAGTAAATCTGTATTATACTAGAGAAATGTACTTTATTATTATTATAAAATAGAAATTGTGATATCCTCAAAATAATTGGTTCATCTATTAAACTAGTTAAGTTTAACTTATTTGCTGTAACTCAGAAAACACCCCATATCAATAAAATTAATGTAATTTTTATGGTGAAATCATGGCATACTTAAAATGTGTGTCTTGGTGAACCCTCTAGTTCTCTTAGACAGCCGATAAGCAGTGGGATGCAGAGACAGCCGATAAGCAGTGGGATGCAGAGACAGCCGATAAGCAGTGGGATGCAGTGGGATCCCAAACCAAACCAAACTCGCAGCTGTCCAGTTGATTCTGACTCACAGCGACCCTAAGGACCGAGCAGCATTGTCCCCACAGGGTTTCAAGATGAGAAATCTTTACAGAAACTAATCATCTTTCTTCCATGGAGTGGACGGTGACATTGTCAACAATTTTTTTTTCAAGGAAATTAAAAATTCTAGGGGTGTGTGTGTGTGTGTGTGTAAAGCTCTCTATTTTGATAACAAATTCAAATTGTTTAAACAAAACACAATGTGGAAAAAGTGAATAATTCAGTATAACACATTCAAATAGCTGCCCCTAGCTTATCGACTCAAATTTATAGACTCAAACTCAGACTCCCTGCCATCGAGTCAATGCTGACTCATAATGACCCCTTGTGGCTTTCTGAGACTGCAACTCGAGTAGAAAGCTTCGTCTTTCTCCCACAGAGCTGCTGGTGCTTTCGAACTGCCAACCATGCGGATCGCAGCACAAAATGTAACCACCGCACCATTAAGGCTCCTCATAGGTATTCTACAAAGCAGTGATCACTGTCTCCATTTTACAGCCAATAAAAATAAAATAGGTCACACAACAGCAAGAATAATGCCAGGTCCTCCCAGAGTCACAGGAAATGTATGGTCTTTCTGCTACCATGTAACTGGCTCTAAACCCAGGCTTACTTCCATTTGTTGCTTTATGAGTCTTGGCTTTCCTTAAAATTAGCCTCAAACAACAACAAAACAAAAGCAGCACAAACTAATCCCATCCCAAAGGAACTACAAACAGCAATCTTAGGAAGCAGGCATGGAGCCAACGTTTTTTTTAAGTATCTGTGTTTTAACCTGGTGTTTTGAAGCAAGAGTTATTATTAGCAAAATATTTATTTGTCCTTGCACTCCTAAATGTAGCACTTGATTCTACTTACGATTCGTTTTCTTTTCTGTGTTTTGAAGCTATGTCATTTAACAGTATGTTAGCAAAGGCTTTTGCTTTATTCATCAAGCCTGTCTTTAAATCATCGCAGTCCAACCGCACCATAGGGAAATGAGCCCACTGTGGCAACAGCGTAATTTCTGAAGCTAGATTTAAAAATTTCCCTATAAACTTAAAAAAGATACAGGTTTGAAAATTTAAGATATACCTGGAATTTTATAATTCATCAGAGAAGTCATGGTACTTTACTGTGGTGAAATTCTTAATCACATAATACATTTGCAAAAAGTTTTCTTCACAAGGAATCCAGGACAGATACACCCCTCAGGACCAATATTGAGAGCAGCCAGACCAAGAGGGTAAGGGGACGGTGGGGGGAGATAGGAGGAACTGATCACAATGATTTACCATAACCCCCTCCCAGCGGGATAGACAACAGAAAAGTGGGCGAAGGGAGACATCAGTCAGTGTAAGCTATGACAAAATAATAATAATTTACAAAGTATCAAGGGTTCATGAGAGAGGGAGGGTAGGGGAGATGGGTGGAAAATGGGGCTGATAACAAGGGCTCAAGTAGAAAGAAAATGTTTTCAAAATGATGATGGCAACAAATGTACAAATGTTAAATAAGTTAAATAAAAAGAAACTTTTCTTTTTTTGTTTAAATCATTTTATTGGGGACTCGTACAGCTCTTATCACAACCCATGCATCCATCCGTTGTGTCAAGCACATTTGTGCATTTGTTGCCGTCATCATTCTTGAGTTTTCTTTTCTTAAGGGACTAAAACTTTTTCCTTTTTTAAAAAAACTTTTCCCTTTCATATTTTTCCCCCTACCTTATCTTTTCACTAAAACCTCTCATATAGTATTGTTCTGGGTGCTGCTCTTTGATAACTCTGGATATTGAGGGAGTGAAATTACCCCCAAGAGTTAAAAAAAGAAAAAAAGCATTCCCAGTCAGCTAATGTCTCCCTGGTTAAGAAGAAGTCGATATCGTGTGGCACTCTGGACCACTGTCAGAGACATGCCGTGTCCTTATTGGGGCCTCACAAAGGACTCTCAGCTTCAGGAAAAGACACACAAGGAAACTTTCTGATTTGGTCAAAGTTATCATTACCGAAAAATCAAGATATTACAATTTATATCACCTCCTTAAATAATTGGATATGAGTTTGAGGAGAACAGTGACCAAAATGCACTGCATTTTATGAAAGTGAAGATGTGTCCACCTACTTCAGGCAACGATGGCTTACTTCTACGATGCACCTTTAATGTGGCCTCTCTCTACCTTCCTCCCAGCCCTCGGTTCACCCTCCACCGAAATGTCCCTAGCCTTTCGTTTCCTTGAAGAACTCAAGGCTACTCGGTGTTGTCTAGGTGGATTGTGCTAAAACTTTTCAGCACACTGGATGTGGACTGCTAACCAGAGGTTGGTAGTTCAAAGGCATCAGTCATATGTTCAAAAAAGCAACTTTACAGGACAAGGTTGAACTGACTCATAGAGTTTCCAAAGCTGTAAATCTTTACAGAATCAGACTGCCACATCTTTCTCCCACAGAGCAGCTGGTGGGTTTGAACCTCCAACTTTTCTGTTTAGTTTTTGAGTATTTCAATCACAGTTCCATCGAATCATGAAACAAAGATAAAACTTTTAAATATTAGGATAATAAAATAAAGTAGACATAAGAGAGTATTGCCTGTGTGATTCTATTTCTATGATATTTTAGAAAAGGAAGCTCTAATCCATATTAACTGAAATCATGCCAGTCGCCACCTAGCGTTGGGGTTAGGGAAAATTGGCAGGAATAAGGCATGAGGAAGCATTCAGAGAAGACAAATGGCTCTCTATCTTGACTGCGGTGATGGCTACACAAGTATATAAACATGTCAAAACTCATCTAATTGTACAATTAAATGGATGAATCTTATTGAATATAAACCTAGCCTTAGTAAAGTTATTTTAAAGTTTATTATTCTTGACATGAATTAAAAATTAAAATGGATTAATGGGTGAAAAGGGTAAATTGAAAGATTTAGAAAATTCAATAAAATGTTGGAATCTAGTGTTCTTTGTAAAGCTCATTTATTTCTCTGTATGTATAAACGTTCATCAGCAAATATGAGAAAAAAGTTAATTGTACATGAAAATTCTAAAGGAAGAGAGAAAATAAAGCAACAGAAACCTAGGTTTAAGCAAAGGTTTTTGCTAGAATTGTCTTTCTGAAACACAAACACAAGTATGGTATTTCAATGGTTATAAACCTTCAGGATAAACAAGCCAGTCACAAAAGGACAAATATTATATGATCCCATTTATATGAAGAATACAGAAATCAACGTTCATTCGTGGCAGTCATTGTGCGAGGAAGAGAGGCTCATTGCTTCTGTAAAGAAGATAGAAAACATTTGGAAGTAGTGTTGGTGTTTGATTTAGATGATGATCATAATTAATGCCAATGAACTTAACCTTTGAAACATGTTGAAATGTCTTGCTATATACTTACAGTAAAAAATTGTTCTAAATAATTAAAACACCAGAATCATTCTTACCTCTGTGTATTCATCAAAAGTATGATCTTCATTCTGAAAAACGCTGATCATTTCATCAGCAGTCCCATCAAGAAGCCAGTTATATTTTTCAACTAAAAATTAATAATATAAGATATCTCAATAATAGCTTTATATTTTTTTAAAGGTAAAGTACCAATTTTTATGTAGCCATGGAATGAGGTAACCTACACTATTGTTATGATTAATCGAGTAATAACACATAGATTACTACATTTCAAAGAATAAAATAAACAAGCAAATCAAGTTAAATAGATTTTAAAAATACAGGTAGGAGACAAATTAAAGTCCTAACTATCTTAAAGGTACAGATAGGCCAGCAACAGAAGATCATGACAATCACCTTGATCTGACACACACCAAGAAGAGACTATCCAAAACCCAAAAACAAATCCAATGCCATTGAGTTGATTCTGACTCAAGGCTACACAATAAGGCAGAGTGAAATTGCTTCTTAGGATTTCAGAGATTGTCAGTCTTTATGGGAGCAGACAGCCTTGTCTTTCCCCCTGGGAGCAGCTCAGAGCTCCAGGTTAACCTATGTTTGCTAGATAGACTGGGCTCAAAACTTTCAGCACACTAGACTTTGGCTGCTAACCACAGGTTGTGGTTCAAAGGCACTAGTTGTTCAAAGAAGCAACTTTATAAGACAGGGTCTAACTGACTATGTCATAGAGTTTCCAAGGCTGTAAATCTTTACAGAAGCAGACTGCTACATCTTTCTCCTACAGAGCAGCTGGGGGGTTGGAGTTGAACCAAGAACTTTTTTTGGTTAGCCTTTGAGTATTTTAATCACTGCTCCATTAATGCATTAAATATAGACACACAAAAAACCCAAAAACATAGACCCAAGTGGGAGGGTGGGGGAAGGAGGGAAAAAATGAGCTGATACCAAGAGCTCAAGTAGAAATACAATGGTTTTGTTTTGTTTTTAAATCATTTTATTTGGGGCTCTTACAGGTTTTATAACAATCCATACATCCAGTGTGTTAAGCACATTTGTACATATTTTGCCCTAATCCTTTTATTTGTACATATTCTGCCCTCATTCTTTTCAAAACATTTTCTTTCTACTTGAGCCCCTGGTATCAGCTCATTTTTTCCCTCCCTCCCCCACCTTCCCGCCCTCATGAACTATAAATTATCATATCTTACACTGTCTGCTGTCTCCCTTCACTCATGTTTCTGTTGTTCGTCACCCTGGGGGTGGGGGGGAGGTTATACATCGATCATTGCAATTGGTTCTCATTTTCTCCCCCCATCTTCCCCCTACCCTCAGGGTTTCACTACTCCCATTATTGTTCCTGAGGTGTTTATCTGTCCTAGATTCTGTATGTATTGAGCTCTTATCTGAACCAATATACATGCTCTGGTCTAGCCAATTTGTAAGGTAGAACTGGGGTCATGATGGTGGGGCGCAGGGGAGGGAGGGAAGCATTAAAGAACTACAGAAATGTTGTTTCATTGGTGCTATACTGCACCCTGGCTGGCTTGTCCCTTCCTTGTGATCATTCTCTGAGGGAATGTCCAATTGTCTACTATTGGACTTTGGTCTCCACTCCGCCCTCTCCCCACCCCCGAGTTCACATCAATATGATTCTTTGTTCTGGGCCTTCTGATGCCTGATACCTGATCCTGTCGATCACACAGGTTGGTGTGCTTCTTCCATGTGGGCTTTGTTGCTTCCCTGCTAGATGGCTGCTTGTTTATCTTCAAGCCTTTAAGACCCCAGATACTATATCTTCTAATAGCCAGGCACCATCAGCTTTCTTCACCACATTTGCTTATATACTCATTTTGTCTTCAGTGATCGTGTAGGGAAGGTGAACATCACAGAATGCCAGCTTATTAGAACAAAGTGTTCTTACATTGAGGGATTACTTGAGTAGAGAGAGGCCCAAGGTCCATCTGCTACCTTAATATTTAACGTATAAACATATGTACATAGATCTATGTTCCTATAGTTATATATAAATATATTTACATATGTATGTGCCTGTATTTGTATCTGTATAAATGTCCTTTGCCTCCTAGTTCTTTCCTTTATTTCCTTTTACTTTCCTCTTGTCCCACTATCATATTCAACCTTCATTCGGCTTTCAATGATTCCTCTCAGCTACATTGCACATGATCAAACCCCACCAGGTATTCTATGCCCTCCTTGTCATCAATTTTAGATCACTTGCTGTTCCCTTGTCCCTGGGTTTGTTGGCTCCCCCTTGTTTTCCCCTACTTCCTCCTCTCCCATGTCCCCTCAGAACTGTCAGTCCCATTATTTTCTCCTTGGGATTGTTTATCCTGAATATATATATAGACATAGACATAAAAAGAAAAAGAAAAAAACTCCTATAAATTGTCCCAGGTCTGTCTGTTGACTTTTATGAATGCTTTCTGATCAAGTCTGACGAGGTGCCAAGCCCTGACCCTGAAGCCTATTTTGGGGATTCCTCGGGGATTTCATTGCTTTGCTCCCCAGAAAGAAAATGTTTCTAAAATGAAGATAGCAACGTATGTACAAATGTGTTTGGTGTATAGATTGTTATAAGAGCTGTACAAGCCCCCAATAAAATGACTTTAAAAAAATAAACACACAAAATTTTAAAACCATTAAGATAATAAAAGCAAGTAGACATAAGAGAGTATTTGCTGTGTGATTCCACTTCTATGGAATTCTAGAATAGAAAGATCTAATCTATATTAACTGGAAGCATGAACTGCTAACCTTGTGGCTAGCTGCTTAGCACTTAACCCACGGCAACCACCAGGGCTCCTTTGATGAGACTATAACGTTTCAGGCTCTTCAAAGCTATTCTCAGGAATTACCTTGCTTTTACCCGATTCAGTTTCTTCTTTATCCCTATAGCTTCCCTCCCTACCCTTTGCTTTATCACACCGTCCAGTTTACTTTCAGGCTTTGGACCTGACAAAAGAATTAAAATGTGTTGGTTTTGATCCTCAGCTCTACAAAAGCCACACCTGAACTCACATGTAGACACCCTGGTGGCACAGTGGATTACCCATTAGGCTGCTAACCACAGTAAGAAGTTTAACATCACTAGTTGCTCCTCCGGAGAGATATGAAGCTTTCTCCTCCCCCAAAACAAAAAAGATTTATAGTCCCGGAAAGCCACAGAGGCAGTTCTGCTCTGCACTACAGGATCGCTCTGAGTCAGCATCGACTTCACAGTGCTGCGTGCTTTTTGAGTGAGTGCTTCCTTCTTCTCCCTGTGGCCTTATAGCAGCCCCAGACAGCCATGCCAGTACTTTTGAAAAAGCCATTCTTTTATGGTGAAAAAAGAAAGAAAGAAAGAAAAGAATCACATATGTCACATATACCATATGCCTCATATTGTTGTCTTGGACCTTCTAAGTTCTGACGTATTGCTCTCTTCAATGTATCGACAGCCCAGTGGATCACATGTGCAGGTAGCTCGGTGTCAAGATTCGTAGGTGTTGCAGCTCCTGATAGCCAAGAAGGTACTGTTTGGACATTCTAATGTAAATAAAGATGACAATTTATAAAATAAACATATAACTGGTCCAAATAGAAATCTGATGCTATACGTTAAGGCATTCATTTCAGGTTTCATTGGTTCCCAGAAAAGGTAAACGATGCAAAATAATAACTTTAAATTGAACAACTTTGTAGCCTAACATGAAACATAATTGAGTTATTTTATTATCATTCAACATATATTAATCAAGTACATATACTGTGAAAGTGATTATATTAAAGAGCTCTAAAAAGGTTTTTAAGAAGCTTACAATCGGTAGGGGAGATGAGACATGCACAAACATATTAATTCATAACTATAATGAAACTTCTAAGGACAAAGTCATCTCCAGTCAGGAGCTTGGAAGGCATTTCTAATTTAAAATAGACTGGGGGTGGGTGGGGAGGGGTGAGACAAAACAAAGAGTTATATTCTATATACTTAAATGTGCTTTGTAGACTTAAAAATAATTACACTCAAATCTTTTAGAATTCTGAAAAAGACTCATATTAAAAAGGCCAGGGGTAAAGATGATGTCATACCTGGAGGGCTTCTGCTATCCGTTCTACTAAACTCAAAACAATGTCTTCCAAATCTTGAAAGGTGGGATAAAATTCCATTTTTCCTTCATCAAACGTCAATTCCATCTTAAATATTGGCAGCCCTCGTTGGTCTTCATGGTCAAAAAGTTTTAAAAATCCTTCCACAGTTCTCTTTAAGAGATCCTTTAACTGTATGATATTATAAATTCCTATTACTTTAGAAAGTCCAAATCCTACCTCTAACTAAAATTAGTGAACTAGAGCCTATAATAAAATCATTCAGTCAACCAATTTAGCCCTGAACTTATTCTCATTCAGCATATATTCTTAATTAATGTTACCTAAAACAAAGTGAAAAATTCATGCAATTGTTTTCTTTCCTATGGGATGCCAACAATCTTAAAATGGCAACTCAGATTTTAACACATTCTTTAGCAAAACTGTCCCTGGTACAGAAAATGTTCCAGAAGACCAAACAGCATGGTGAAGACTGGGATGAGATAGATGTGACACCTGAGACCTGGGGTGAGATGCAGTAATATATTGGGGTTGGTCTCAGTGTTACAAGAACCAACTGCTAAATATTCAAGAATTTTGACAACCAATTGGTAAATCCTTAGAAGTTTTGAAATCCACCATGGTAGGAATTTCAGAGTTTTAGTTGGGGTTTGTTTCTTTCTTTTCTTCTGGAGATCTGTATTCTAGCACACAATGATGCGAGGGCAGACCTACTTGAAATATGCACGATGAGTTACTAAAGTATGAATAATGCATTCTCTACCACACCAACTACTAGGAGTTTAAGCTAGCAGACAAACAAAACATTTCTCATCTTTTTATTTCTTATCAAATAATCATGGTTCTCTGATGAGTGTAAACATAGACAGGAAAACAAATATGGCAGAGTGATATGGTCTAGACAATAAATACATTCAGATGTGTGACTTTTCTTTTCAAGATGCACTGCAAAATTTATTGGCTCTTTGGAACTTTTAAAATCAAGATCACTCAAGTGAATCTCTTCATCATCATTGTGGTAGTTAGATAATTTCATGTCAACTTGAAGATATAAAAGGGAAGGGGTGGCGTCTAGCCTCTCAACAGGTCACAACTCGATGGTGCCTCCTCGTGGGCGTGACCGTCTCATAAGGAGGGTCCTGGGACCCTCTCCCCTCTCTCTAGCTTCATCTTCCTGTTGAGATGTCAGCAATATGCCAGACCCTTGGAGATTTGTCCACTGCCATTGGATCCATAAGATTTTGCACCCACCAGTCTGTGATCGTCCTGCATTCTGCATCATTGCATATGGCTCTGCCAATCTGAAGAAGGATTTATGAACTAGTATCGGATTTATGGAGAAGTATCGAACTTATGGACTTGATCTGGACTGGGCTGTTTGCTTGATATATAATTACTTCTTGATATAATGCTCTCTCTTACACATACATAAGTGTCTCTGGATTTATTTCTATAGTCTATACCCTGCCTAACACATTATGGTAACAGAAGGAGTATTAATTTGCTGAAGCAATGAAATCACATCTGGAACAGCAGCTGCAACTGGAGTCACCACCTGGTTAAGTTTACGATAATCCACCATCATTCTCTAAGATCCATCTGTTTTTTGCACAGGCCAGATAGGTGAGTTAAATGAGAATATGGTAGGAATCACCACCCCTGCATCCTTCAAGCCTTTGATGGTGACGCTAATCTCTGTAATCCCTCCAGGAATGCAGTATTGCTTTTGGTTTACTGTTTTCCTAGGCAACAGCAATTCTCTCATGATGTCCACTTGGCCTTTCCTACCATAATAGCTCTTATTCCACATTTCAGGGATCCAATATAGGGGTTCTGCCAGTTATTAAGGATGTCTATTCCAATGATGCATTCTGGAACTGGGAAAATAACGACAGTATGGGTCAGGGACCCACTGGACCCACTGTGAGACATACCTGAACTAAAACTCCATTAATAACTTGATCTCCATATGCCCCTACTCTGACTGGTGGGCTTTCAAAACATTTTGGGTCTCCTGGAATTAGTGTCCGTTCAGAGCCAGTGTCAAATAATCCCCCCAAAGTTTGATTATTTCCTTTCCCCTCAATGGACAGTCACTTGTAAAAGGTTGCAGATCCCTTTGGGGAAGGCTAGAAGACTAACAATATAAACCTTTGGCAATGTAGCAGGGTCCTTCTTCAAAGGGACCCGATCATCATTCAAGGGGTTGTGGGTCTATACACTAACTCAAGTCTGGAAATTGAGTGAGGGTTTGTGACTCTCTGTTCTGGTGATTAGAGTTGGACTGCTATTCACCTGATCTAGCATTCTTCTGCTTGTAAAGATCAAGTAAATATTAGTAGGTGTCCCATGTATTTCACTCCTAGGGACATGGTAGCTAAGTAGCCAATGCCCTAAGTCCACATGAGACAGGTTGCTCAGATTACTATGGAAACCTTGCTGTCCATTACAATAACCACACCCACCCCATCTCTGTGTTTTCAGTGCTAACACCTACCCCCTACCACCACAGGGCCCAAGGAGCCCCACTGTAGGCAAATGCTGTAGATCAATTAGGGCAATTCCTACTGTTAATCCTGGTATAGATACAATATCAATTGCAGGAGTCTTCAGAGATGCTAGGCCTCCTTCACAAAATTGTTCCTTATAATTTTGTTGAAAGGCATTTCCTTGGAGCACTCCTTTTGTGGGTTTGTGGGAATTTTCTGATAAATCCATTCTAACATGACAATTTCCCTAAGCTTTTGGATACCACCTTTTACAGTGTACCAAGGTAGGTCAGATACCTCAAGTTGGTCTAATCTAGACCATCTGGCAGCCCATGTTTCAGTGCCAATTGTGTCAAACTAATCCAGGGAATTAAGATCATCTACCTGATACCAAATGTACAGTGAACAATAAATCCCACTATACATGCCAACTGCATCCAATGAAAATCTCTGCTTCCCTTCCCTGGTCAGTTCAGACCTCACCTGCTCTATCTAGCTCTTATCCCTATTTACCCAGGGTTGGAGCCCCGCTCGTGTAGTGGTTACATATTGGGCTGCAGATTGCAAGGTCAGCAGTTCAAAACCACTAGCCACCACTCCATGGGAGAAAAATGAAGCTACTCCCAAAAAAAGTTATAGCCTCAGAATTCCACAGTGGCAATGTTACCCTGTCCTATAAGGTCGCCGTGAGTGACTCGATGGCAGTGAGTTTTTGGCGGTCACTGCATACCTGCCCCTTTTCTAAGGTCTTAAGGATAACTCACAAAGTCCAGGAAAAGCACTCTCTTTAATCTAGTAGGAATGACAATATAAACATAAAAGCAGAGTCTGAAAGGGGTCTCGGTGAAGAGCTGCCATGTCTCCAGAGGATACTTAATTTCCTGAAAGCAAATATTTGATCTTGCCATCTAGGAATCTCCATTGAGCCCCCCTCTTCCAAGGCCTTTATTGGCCAATTTATAATTGGTCATTATAAATTACATCATAACTCCTAAGAGGTTTAGCCAGCATTGTGCCCCAGATCCCTCTAGGTCTGAGTAGCTCCTACTCACTGGCCTCAGGTGTGATCTACCTCTCAGAAACCAGGACCAAAAGCTAGATTGTCTACTGCAAGGGGGTTCCACAATGCACAGGGCTTGTTACCAAATGGGAAAGTTTTTTTCAGAACTATTTTTCAAAGATTATATTTCTATAATGTTGAAAAATCCAAGGAGCCCATAAATATGAGTATAAATTTATCACTTTTGATTCGTGACTTAAAGATACTCAATAACATTTGTACCAAGATTATGATTATATGAATCAATTATTAATTTACTGAGAACCAATGAAAATCAATCCACTTGGAATTACATTAAAAAAAAATCTTTGATAGGCGTTAGCTAACATGCTTTAACAAGGTGATAAATAGCTTGCAACTTTTACACATAAAGCCAGCATAATAATGACACATAATTCTAGACTTCTTATGTTAGATTGCTTCAGAAACTAAGTATTTTATGGTATTTACTTAGATAGAGTGAACTGTTTTTCTCAATTTATTTCAAAACAATTACTTAGCATATGGCTAAACAGAATTTTATTTTAAATACTGAGCCCATTTTAATAATACTAACATTTAAGATATAAAAGACACGTTTACCTGATTTGACATAAGTGTGGAAACACAGTTATAAAAAGAATCCATTTTCTCAGATTTAATGCCTTCTACTGACTCCTTCTTGGTAAAGAGATTTATGACCTTTGGGTACCATGTGTTCATTATCTTCTCTTCTGCTTTTTTAGCTTGTATTGATAGATCATTTCTCAATGTTTCACAGTCAATTGGCCCTTTAGCTCTAGTTGTGAAGAAAAGAAAATAGATTTGAGTAAATAATAGATCTTAGTCTTTGTACACAATTCTTGTAATATGTAAAATAATTTTTAAAACTAAAATATAAAGAAAGCAGTCAAAGATCTAACAATCATATTTTTAATTGTACAGTCAAAAACAACGGTGCAAGTAAGGAAGCATTCAAATCTAAAACATTAATTAATCAATACAGGATTTTTACCGTATTCCTGTGAAGTCCAGCAAAACTGTATTGGCAAATGTTGCATAACCAAGATCAAGTAACATTTTCATGGTTGGGTTAACAATGTGTAAATTAGATAACATTTGGTTTCTTGCCTGCACATAGCTGGAATGCCACGGGTTCGAATAATCCAGGCCTCTGAAAAAGCAAAGCATCATATCAAACAGGAATAAAACAACCAACCCTAAGGTTTTAGAAATAATATTTAAGGCATGGGATCAATATTAAAGTGAGAAAACTGGAGAAAGAAAAGAGGGCAAGGTGTCACCAGTGGGAGCTGTGGAAGAGAAACAGTTAATAAAAACACATCAAGATCTCAAAAGTACACTATCTTAGGAAAAAAAACAAAGTTAAATTGTAAGGCAGGTTAAGGATGACAGGTGTGGGTGCCTTGCTTGCTAGCTTCCACAGGGCTCTCATTCAGTCCTGATGGGCTGAGCTGAAAGAACAGTCTCTAGGAGCTGGAGGGAGGTGGGGTGGGGAGAGAGGGGTGGAGAAACCTGTTTGGCAAACAGAGAAACTCATGGCAGGCCAAGGAGAGCGATGCATTTAGGATACCTTTGGAGAGCAGTGCAGGACTAACTGCTGTTTTAGGTATGTCCAACATACCTCAGAATGGCACAAGTCTAGATTTCAGTGTAAGATCAGTTTATTCTCAATCTGTTACCAAAAGGTGCATGAAAACATAGGCCCTTAGTCTCAAAGACAACTCTATTCAATTGGCAGCACAACATTCAGATTCTTTATCCTAGTCAGGCGGGTAGCATCTGGAGTCTTAAAAATTTGCAAGCAGCCTTCTAAGATACAACTATTGGTCTCTACTCATCAAGAGAAAAGGAGAAAGAAGGAAAACAAAGTTTCAGATAAGAAGGCCTGCTCTACCCTGAGACCACAACTAGATAGTAAATACCCTGCTACCAACTATCAACTGTTCTGATCAGGACCACAATAGACGGATATGCTTTGGGCTGTGGTACCAACTAGGAGCTCCTCAGGACAAAGACTGGGCTTTCTACTCACGTAAACAGTTACAGTCTCAGAAATCCATTGGGGGATCGCTATGAGTTAGCATTGACTGGATGGCAATGAGATAGATGGAAGGGCAAATACAAATGGAAAACATGCAGGCAAATTCCTCCTCCTTGGATTTCGTTAGAATTCACTTTTGATAACTTGTAAAAGTTGTTTCTATAAAAAGTGTGTAAATGTAACTCCATGTTACATGTAATTCTCCTCTATCTCCCAAGGGTTTTTTCCTGGAAGAAGATCAGCATGGCCCAGCACTAGAAGAACTGGACAATTAGCAAATGTGTGCAAGATAGGCATGCGTTGATTCTGTTCCTTTCCTTATGGAATGGTTGTGATTTATTTCTATCTTTGTCATCTCTTTAGTGGCTTGACTATGAAAATATCACATTCTGGTTTAATGCTTTTTTCTTTTTTTTTTTTACATTTAATTTAAGTGTGTTTATTTTTTTAATCATTTTATTGGGAGCTCATACAACTCTTATCACAATCCATACATACATCAATTGTGTAAAGCACATCTGTACATTCGTTGCCCTCATCATTCTCAAAACATTTGCTCTCCACTT